TCAGAGTGGCTTAAAATAAACAAAAAAACAGCCCACATAAAGAATTCCACAAATGACACCCCAAAACCCAAGAACTCCAACTTTCCCCCAGAACCACTGTCTTCCAGCTCAAACCTCGACATAAGCAAAGCCTCCCACCAGTTTCAACCATGTCTCCCAGCTGCCGCTCATAGCCAGATACAAGAAGTCTTTTTCCACAACCCTGCCCACCTCACCCACCCACTCTCAGCACTGTCCAATCACAGGGAAGATTCTCCCACCTTCCAAGCGTGCACCCTTCTTCTACAGAGGGACAAAGAGTCAAAAGGAAAGCAAGCAAGGTCTCAGTAAAAAAGCACTGCCCTGAAAAGGAGTGGGCTCTGTGTTCTGGCCAGTGCTGTATTTGCAAAATGGATAAAGAGCATCAGAAGTAGTAGCTAGAATCCAGTGCCCCCCCATTACACTCCCTGACCCCACAAAAAAAAGTGAGCCACAGGGGCCACATCCACATGACTGCGGACATTTGTTTCCCCAGGGACAAGAAGCAGCGACGCACCTTGTGCCACTGCTACTTGTCCCTGGGGAATGCCTGTGCCATGTGCCCTTTGGTGTGCAGTAGATTACCCTGGGTTGGGTAGGGGAGGCTGGGGCTAACACTAGACTGTCTCCAGCAGACTTATCTGGGGTTCTGGGGGCCTCCTGGGGCTGCAACAACGATCTTGTCACTTGGAGCCAGAGTGTGGCTCCAGCCAGCCGGGTTCCAGTTTTGGGTGGCGCGCGCTGACCCTGTGTGCACCATTCCCCCTTTTTTTTTTTGCAGAGGTTTTTTTGATCCCAGGATCTCCTGGGGTCACCCCCTACCCCACCATGAACTGCTACCTTGAGCATGGAGAATAGCTGAATGTGCTGTATGTGACACCGCAGACATGTCTGCAGCACCATATACCACACTGTCATGCTTGTGTGGACATGGCCAGGGAGGGCTGGGGGATGCCCTTAGATTTAACTACTGGTCTACTGGGCTAGACACAGGAGTGGTTCTTCTTAATCTCTAACAGTCTTAGATATGCCTTTTCTCCACCTAAGAATTTGGGGACTTATACTGAATTTAGGCAGTTCCCAAGGGCATTAGGATTGCAACAGAGTAAAGTATAGTTAGAGGTTTAGAAATGTGCTTCTAGAGATGTGCAATAGGCCAAAATGGAGATACACAAGGAATCTAGAATTTTAATAGCTTGGTGGCTGTTGTTCAGGGTTGATTAAGATTGCATTTACATTTAATGATTTAGATACCTGAAAGCCATATAAATAACACTAGAATTTTAGCCCAGATATGTATCTGTATCTGTTCAATTGACCTTTATAAGACTGGATCCTAAGAAGCAAATTTTCAAAGATACTTAGGTGCCTAAAGACACAATAGTGCTTAGCAGCATTTTCAAATGTGACTAAGCAGTTTATGGCAATCTATTCTTTCCTGGTCATGTAATTGGCCATTTTTGGTTGATGACAGGGCATTTTTAATACTTATTCATCCAGGAGTATTCTATTTCTGTACATACAGCCCTGTGTGTATGGATGATTATGTATTTGTACAGATTGATTCTAACAAAATGAGAGAGGCCTCATCTTTTTCCTCCAAATATCTCAGTGACTAGTATGTTCACCTAGAGATCCTTGGTTCTGGGCCCCCCTCACCAAGAATGAGTTTGAACCTGGGTCTCTCACTTCCTAACACAATAGTTTACCTGCCCCACCAATGGTCAGCCATGGTCTAGTACAGAGGTGGGCAAAATACAGCCTGTGGGCCAGATCCATGAGTGCCAGGAGCTGCACATGGGTTGTGCAGATCCCCTGTATAGGGGTGGCCTGGCCAGGTTGCAACCCTCGGCTCCATGTGCAGTGCTGGCCAGAGACATGCGCCACTAGGCAGTAGTGCCTGTGCCAGGCATGAGCACCCCCACCTGCTGGTGCTTCTGCTGCTGCCAGCAGGGGCTGCGTGCCATGGGGGAGTGGGAGGGTGTGGGGGGTCCCCATGTCCCGCCATGATCCCTCACATCCACAAAAGCCACACACCCACGTCCTACCCCAACAAGCCCCAGACATGTACATCCCCCAACATAACCTATTGGCCCCCACACCCCACCACACAACCCCCACTCCAACTCCCCCACACCCAATATATAAGAGTAAGACTTTATTTTTTAGTTATTATGCAATCATCTTCACATACAGTATGCAAATACAAATCATGACAAAAATATTTTTGTAATAAAATTAAAATATGTTATAGGAGGTGTTTGACTTTTAATGCATGATTTGTTTTTGGTTTTTTTCTGGTTCCAAGATGGCAACCCTCCCCTCCCAAAAGCAGGATGTCCAGGGGGCAAGTGGAGGGACTTCTGGTGGCAAAGGTCAGTGGTTAGGGGGTGGAACTTCCTGTCCCAAGATGGTGACCAGGGGGCAGGGCTACTCACATGGCCCTCAACAGCTCACCAAAACTTGTTAAGCATCCCTCCAGCCAAAATAATTGCCTGCTCCTGGTCTAGTCCCTTGGCCAGCAATCCTTTAAGTTGGCTCCCTGGAGAGTCATGACAGGGCAGTGTCTGGGATATGCAGCCAGGAGACAGGTGTTGGGAGCTATAACAGGTCTCAGATTCCCTGTTGCTTCTCTCTATGCCCTCTAGAAGCAGGATAAGATGCGTTTAGGTCTTTCAGCCACTCTGATACCTCTCTCACCGTTGCCTGTTACCCCTTTGTTGATTTAAAACATGTTTTGGGAGGCTATCTTGCAAAAATGGGGGTGTGGCTTCAGATGCCCTGCTCTGCTCTGCATAGATCATAGGTTTTCTTGCTGGCCCCAAAATAGCAATCCTCAGTTTCACATGTCTCAGTGCCTCCCCCAAAGTAACTCCACAGTTTGGGGCTCTCTCAGTCCCTCTGTGCAGTCTACTGGGCCTCTGGAAGCCCATAAATTTAGTAATGTAACCTAATTCCCTTCAGAAAATGTTTTCAATGGTCTCCTACCCTTTAGCCATTCATGAGTAAGATAAAAACAAAACAAAAATATAAATGCATAACTTGAAATCCATGGAAGTTAACCACTTACCTGCACACTTTTGAAAATTCCACTAGATGCCTATTTGAAACTTAAGATACTTAATACAACTAAATTTGGTTGTAATTTAATTTTAAAATTGAGACTTATACTCCAACATCATTTAGATACCTTTGAAAATATTCCCCACACAGAAGTTTTTAGAAATGGTATCTCAGTTAGGTATCTTTATTGCATATTAGGCAATAAGCTTGGAACATGTGCACTAAGAACCAAGCTAAGGGCTTTCATAGTTTCATAGTTGGTAGGGTCGGAAGGGACCTAAGCAGATCATCAAGACCGACCCCCTGCCATTGGCAAGAAAGAATGCTGGGGTCAAACGAACCCGGCTAGGTGATAGTCTAGCCTTCTTCTGAAGACCCCCAGGGTAGGAGCGAGCACCACTTCCCTTGGAAGTTGGTTCCAGATCCTAGCCGCCCTGAACGTGAAGTAGTGTCTCCTGATACCTAGCTTGAATCTAATCTCAGTCAATTTATGGCCGTTATTCCTTGCAACTCCTGGTAGTGCTCAGGGGAACAGGGGCTCTCCCATAATCTGCTGCTCCCCCTTGGCCAGTTTGTAGAAGGCCACGAGATCCCCTCTCAGCCTCCTCTTGTGGAGGCTGAACAGGTTCAGGTCCCATAGCCTCTGCTATTAGGGCCTGCCTTGCTGCCCCCTAATCATGCGGGTGGCCCTCCTCTGGACCCTCTCCATGTTGTCCACATCCCTCCTGAAGTGCGGCGCCCAGAACTGGACGCAGTACTCCAACTGCGGCCTGACCAGTGTCACATAGAGGGGGAGGATCACCTCCTTGGACCTGCTTGAGATGCATCTGTGGATGTATGACAAGGTGCAGTTGGCCTTCCTGACCATGTCCCCACACTGTCGGCCCATGTTCATTTTGGCATCAATAATGACTCCAAGATCCTTTTCTGCCTCTGTGCTGATGAGAAGGGAGTTCCCCAGCCTGTAGGTATGCTGCTGGTTCTTCCTCCCCAGGTGCAGTACCTTGCACTTCTCAGTATTGAAACCCATCCTGTTCTCATCCGCCCACCCCTGTAACCTGTCCAGATCTAGTTCCAGCCTGTCCTTCTCCTCCAGTGTGCTCTTCCCAGCAGATGTCTGAAAAGTTCAGGTCACCCATAATGACCACATCTTTTGACCTAACTACTTCCGTGAGCTGATTTAAGAATTCCCGGTCTAGCTCTTCCCCTTGGTTGGGTGGTCTGTAGTAGACCCCCACCATTAAGTCCCTTTCCCCTAGACTTCCTTGTATTCTAACCCAGAGCACTTCAGTGTGCCCCTCATCTGACCTTGTGCTACTTGATGAGGATGTGTATTCCTCCTTGATGTAGAGTACCACACCCCACCTTTTCTCCCTGTCCTGTCCCTCCTATACAGCCTATAGCCCTTGATATTCACTGCCCAGTCATGTGTTGGGTCCCACCACATTTCTGTGAGCCCCACTATGTCTGGCTTGGTGTAAGCTAGCAGGAGTGTAAGTTCCTCCTGCTTGTTCCCCATACTATGAGCGTTTGTGTAGAGGCATTTGAGGCCTCCTGAAGATGTGTGGAGTAGCCCCCTTAGGCAAGTACATGTGACAACTGTCACCTGTGTGTATTTCATCATTGTATCATTGCAGTGTCATCTCTTAGTTTTCCAGATATCCTTGAGAAAAGGCTCGCAAGACCTTTTTGGGACAAAGAATTCCTGTTTCAGTTACGAAGTTGAAGTTGAGACAGAGAGGTATCAATGCCTTCTGAGATGCTGGATACTTACAGATCCACTTAACAACAAATAAAATAAAATAATGGATAATCCTTGCACAAGAAAACATTAAAAGAAAATTAATTGCATTGAACAATCTCTGCAAATATTCTGGCAAATGATTATACGAGAGTATGAAGACAGAAATTCTCCTTACACATGGCACATGGCATCTTCAAAAAGGACCAGGTTCATGGCAGCATTGACTTCATTGTAGTTATCCAGAGCTTCTACAAGGATCTGGTTCAATGACTCCCAGGTCTGAACAGGCATGTATTTGGATTCCCCAATACCTTTTGAAAAATGGCAATACATGTTCATCTTCTTGGTCTGTTCTAGCATCTCCTCAGTCTCCTGCCAAGGAAATGCAAAAGAGAAGTTTGACTGCCTTCTCACTAACTCCCCACAGGGAAAGCTTCTGAAGTGACAGATCAGTGCAGTTCTAGCATAAGCTCTATTGCAATTTAGAAATGAAGTAGTGTGGTTCCCAGTTCACCTAGGTCCAGAGGGAAGGAGGGTGGGAAAGCCAGGAGACCCCAGTAGCTAGGAGCAATGGAGGAAGCCAGTGATGATCAGGAGGAATGACATCCAGATCTGTGAAGGGAAGTGTGGGAAGTTGAGGAGGTAAAGGTGACAGGAGTCCTTGGGAAGAGTTGCAGGTGGCCTGTGGCCACCACCAAGACAGCCCTGCCAGAATGCATCACTGAGAATAAAAGCTCTACAGTATTTTCCACAGGATTAGGTAGTTAAATGGATGATGAGAGCATCTGTACTTAAAATAAATATGCACACAGGAGTAGCAGGGAGTGATGGGCAAGAGGAGGGGGCAACAAGGGCTGCCCACACTCACCCACCACAGAGCAAATAGACAGCCATGGCCACTGATGTGCCATGAAAGGGTAGAGACATCTATTTTCTCACATTTTTATGGCAGCACAAATGCAATATCAGGCAACTGACTCCCCAGCCCAGCCCAGCCCAGCCCAGCCCCTGTCTTCTTTACTTTTCATTCCATCCAGGAAGAGTACACACCAACTGCTGCAGCTTCCTGATTCTGACGAAGGGTTTTTGAACCCGAAAGCTTGCTTAATAACTATTCTCCAACCATTTGGGTTGGTCTAATAAAAGATATCAAATTCACCCAAGGAACCTTGTCTGCCTATATCAGAAAATATATATTTATACCCTAGTTGAACTGAGGACAATTTGCTGCACTCTGGATTCAGCCTCTTCCAACTGAAACGAAGGAACCCTTAGCCTGAGTTTAAACATTCATTTGAGATGTTTAAAGCTCTTTATATACACTAGCTAAATAAAATTTAAAAAAACCTTTGTGAGTTAAGGTAGTATTATTTTACCTATTTTATAGACAAGAAAAATAAGGTACACCAAACAAATAATATGACTTGAGCAGATCTCAGGACCTCTTTGTTACATTTTCCTAAAGACATTTCTGCATTCAGTACATCTTTGGCTTTGAAAAATTATTCTGGAGTTTGTTAACGTGACAAATCCAAACCATGACACTTACATCATAGAATTTCTTCACCATCTCCATCTGCATTTTGTCAAAGATGTCAAAATCTTTTTCATCAACCATATTATCCCGGTACACACGGTTTGCCTCATGCAGGTAGAGCTTCACTAGGTCTTGGGGATGCTTCAGACATTCTGGGGTAGAAAACAGAATGCCCTGTGTAGAAGACATGGATATAAAGATCAACTACATTCATTACCAAAGCTCCTTTGTCAACACAGGAGACAAACTGAATTCTCAGCTTCTATATCTGGACTAGTGCAAGGAACTATAGGTGAATATTTATTAAATTCAGGATTATTATAAGAACCATGGGATCAGACTGATAATTCCATGGCCAAAAAGCCCACAGAAAATGCAGTCCTTGTTATCTTTGGTTTCTCAATCTGCCTGCAACAATGAATTTTACATTACTTTTGCTTTGTTCTGTGTACATAACAGACTTCCAACACTGAAGAGCAACCATGAAGAAGTAGAGCTGATAGTAAGTCATAGAACACATATGATCTAAATATCAGAACAACAGCATCTGAATCAAAATAATACTTAGGTCTTATGCAGCATTTTTTGGTTAATGGCCCACAAAGTACATTAAAAAAGCAATTCTCATGGCAATACTCCCATTTTAAAGACAAAACTGAGGCACAGTGAGAGGCAATCTTTTACTTAAGGCTGTCCAGAAGAGCAATAGCAAAACCACAGCTAGGATTCATTTCTAATAGGGCCCAATTCAATGCGTTATCTACTAAACTACCTTGGCTCCCCATGAGGACAACCCAAACACACAAAACCCTTTGGAGAAGAGAAGTCAGCCATTCAGCTTCCAAACCCAGGCCTCCCTACTTTTAGGGTATGAGTTGCGATTGGCATTTCCTTCCCTGGTAAGGTTTTCAAGCCCCAGTGAGCTCAATTAATTCACCCAGGCAGATACATTACAACTGGAGGGTGCTCATCTTCAAAAGGAAAAACAATCTGGAAATCTCGGTTTTAACAACTTAAAAAAATAATTATTTTAATTAGACATATACTGTCTAAAAAAGAAGCATTCATTGGTGTCAGCTTATTGTAGTATGTTTACAATGTACCCTATTAAAATTCACAAAAGAATTATGTTTCAAAGAGACGATGCCTATAACTAAGCCTATTAACAATACATAAGGTTTTTAATTACATGAATTAAATATAAAACTAATTATTTATACATAAAATATAAAATGCATTAAAAAGTGACATAAAGCATTCTCTCTCTTCTATCTGATTATGGTTTGTTTTTTTTTAAACATTTAATGAATGGAAAATTATCTTTTTTCTGAACAAATATAAGTTCAGAGAATGGCTGGCAACTTCATGTTTTAAAGGTTTCTCTGCGGTGTGTCAGCCTTCTTGTGCCCTTTGGCAGATACCTTATACTTTCATCCAAATTAATGCATGGTAACCTAATAAAAACATTACTTTCATAAAGACTTACTTAATTGGTTGGATGCATTAATTTAATAACAGAAACTGTCTTCTTGCTATAAGACAATCTGTGATAGTGCTGTCAAATACAAATGTCAAAAAAGAAGTCATATCTCAAAATAATCATGAGATAAGCTTAAATGTTGTTAAGATTTTTTTTGTAATTTTTATTAGCAATACTTGTATTGTGATAGAACCTAAGGGCACCTATACACATGTCCGATGCCTGCTCCAACACATTCTAATTAGAATATGTCGGAGCAGATTCTATTAATTTAATTAGCCTATTATATTAAAAAACTTGACCCATCTAATTAACCATTCTAATTAGAATGCTCCAGCATTTTCAGCATCACATGTATTCAGCATTCCCACATTTCCAAATCATGGCAGGAGCACTTTAACTAAAGCTTGTTGAACGTTTAAAGCTCCCCCACTGCCATTTTAAAGCATGGGATGCTGAATACATGAGATGCTGCAGGTGTTTTAATTCGATTGGCTCCTGAGTGGCTCCACTGTCTTAGCTGCTTACAGACAAAGAGACAAAAACAAGGTCTCTTGGTCAAAGATATCACAATATCTAAGAATATCTAAATGTCTGGCCCCATAGGATACACTTGGGTGACACTGAAAAGTTTCCCTTCAGTCATGGGAGCTAATCACTTGCTTCCAGAAAATGGGGTGTTAGATAAAACATCATATATCAAGAAAAACCTGATAAAACAGTGACTGTCTGCAACACTGCAGCATGAATATTTACTCAGGAAAACAACCATGCTCATTAGAGTTGTCACATGTAGTGCTATAATTCCATTACATTGCCTCTGAGTTCCTAAATACATGCATAAACTCTGTTATGAGCCAAATGCCTTTCAGCTGGGACCAATTAGATAAGGATTTATTAAAGGGTAATCTTGAATGACAGATTACTGAATATAATAATCTTCCCAGGAGACAATATAGATCTGGCACAGAAGCTGGGTAATATGTTAATTATCAGAATGAGAAACACCTTCCAATTTTTTGGCACACTTCAAAGCAGCATGCAGAAATTGATATGACAGACTGTCAAGGCTTTGAAATCATTCAGGGATCTGGACTAAACTTGATACTCTCTAGTAACCTAAAAGGAAAGAGAAAAACAAATTGAGGGCGACACATGCATTTAACTATGGCCTGTCTTGGCCTGGGGCTTAAACACTTCCTTTTTCAATAAGATTTGGGGTATTCACCACTGACCAGCAGCAAAGTAAAGATTGTCAGGATACATAATTACCTTTAGGGCATGTCTACACGTCACCCTACAGTGATGTTGTTACTGCACCGTGCTTTAGTACTTCCTTTTAGTACTTCCAAAAGGAAGTACTACAGCATAGTGCAGTAACTGCCCCTACTGCACCATGCACACAGTGCATGGTTACTTTCTGCCACTACTTTGCTGCAGTGACACACTAAAATGGGGGGAGTATACCACTACGGCAAAGTAATCACCAATCATATGCAAACTCACGTGATCCCTACGTTGCCATAGTACGTTGTATGGTGATATAGGGCAGTGACATACGCTATGGTGACATAGGGATGGTGATCTTCTAGCAGGTGCAGGTTGAGCCCTATTACCTACTTGTTTCTAATGAACAGAAATCCTTGGAGCACTCGTGAGTCAGGTAACAAACTTGTGTCTGCTAGATTTCAGAGAGCTAAAATCCTAGAATTCACTAAAGGTCTAAAAGATTGGGTTGCTTCCACAATCAGACGTGGACAGGTAAAACTACATTCCCCCTGCCCCAATAGTGGTGAGCAGTGTCCCCTACTGGTGGTGTGCAGCACTGCCCCCCTCCCAATATAGTGATGCAGAGCAATGACAGCAGCAGTGGAGTACCTGCCTGCCCAGCAATGGTGAGAAGCAGCACCCCTTCAGGCAGGAGAAAAGATTAGGGTAGCACCTACACTTGCTTTACTGGGTTCCAAGTTCATCTTGAGGGAGACTAAGGGTAACGTTACACAATACATTTAGACCATGCTAAGAGCACTTAAAACATAAGTGTTCACAAGTTCAAACTGATTAACTTTTGCTAAATGCCCTCTGAGTATCTTAAAGTTATGCCACTTCAGTGAGGATTAACTTTGGACTGTGATATCCAGCTCATGTTAGGGTAACTTCCACCTGCTCCATGGAGATAAAACAAGCAACTTGCAATTCTCCAGAATCCCAGGATGCACTGCTCTCTCCCCCCTATCCCCTCCCCGCCAGTCTGTAGACAAACATTTTACCCTCACAAACTCTACGGCCAAGGGGTGGTACTACCTGGGAACAGGCAGAGCCCTGCCAGTATCAGGAGGAAGGTTGCAGCAGCAAGAGCATGGAGCATGGCAACAGAGAAACATGGAGCAATAGAGGTTGTGGCTTCCATCTGCAGGCCTCCCATTTTCCCATCCTAGGGTGGGGAGTGGTGGGAGAGGGCTACACTGTGCGGAACACTTCACAGGCCCCAGCCTATCCTAGCCCCCTTGATATGATCTCAGCCCCCCAGCCTGCTCCGAAGAGGCAAAAGCCGCAGAAAAGTTCAGTTAACTTTGATTAGTACTGAAGATTTGGTGACTGCAGGCAGAGCATCTCACCAGCATGATTGCTTTCTCAAACTGAAAGACTTGGGAACTGACTTACTGGGATGGAGAAAGGTATGAGAACTTTTGGAAGAAATACACAAAGAAATGTGGGAGGGAAGAATTAAGAGGGATACAATTCACAGCAAAGAAAAAATTACGAGAAAGAGTGATTATAGTTCAAACGTACACAGATTTACTACAGACATAAAACACAGAAAGATGGATGGGAATGTATGTCCAAAGGGAAATGTTGGCAGAGAAAGCAAAGGACAAATATGGTATCTGGACAAGGACCTGGAGAGCATGGATAGTATTATAAGCATATATGTGGAGCCCAGGTGAGCTGCTGTGCCTCCCATCAGTGATCAAGTTCAGGGCACACTGGGGTTTTATAATATTCCACCAGCAACCAAAACTGCAGCAAGTGCAGAAAAAGTGGGTCACCAGTCTGCACACTCTCCCCTCACAGTGTGCAGGTGTGAAGGGATGGGGCACAGAGCAGAAGAGTTCCAGAGTCCCTAAAATGTATTACTTGTAAGAGAAAGGGACACTTGTAGGTGCTCCAAAGCCTTTGTAAGTATAGTCAGACCCCCGGAAGAACAAGAAAACCAGAGGAGGAGAACAGAGGAGAGGAGGAGCTGGATACTGAGGTAGAAATGGTGGAAGAAACCCTGCATAAGGGTGAAAGAGAGAAGTGGGGCAAAATTTCTGTGACTGAGGCAGCACAGGAGACAAGAGACAGAATGGAAGGGAAGGCAGGAATAGCCAACAGCTCAGACATGGAGGTAGGGGTGGGGAAGAAAGAAGAAACCCCCAGAGACAACAGATGTGGAGATGAAGCAAGGAAAACAACCAGAGACAAGCCAGGAAAACAACTAAAATGCAGAGGCTGAAGAGCAGGAAGAAGAAACCTGATAATGAGGGAGGTGAGTCAGAGGAAGAGCAGGAGAGCAGTTTCCTGCTGCTGGTGCCCCTGGGCTCCAACCTGGAGTGGAGACCAGAAGGCGGGAAGCAGAGAGGAGGTGGAAATATATAAACCTTCCTAAATGCAAAAGTGATCCTACCGCTTGCAAAGGCTACAGGAATGA